CTGAAGCAGCCAGCCTCCCAAAACAAGTCCCAGCGTTTTGCAGAAGCCTGTAAGCAAGGCACTCGAGTCAGTAAAAGCTGCCTTGCTCCAGAGGAGCAAGGAAAGTGGTCTGATGTAAATGTTACTTAATCCAGGATAGGAAAGCTTTCAGATTTTCTCATTAGCAGATAACATTATGGGGAAATAGATGTCACATTGGAAAAGACATATTAAGACATATTCTAAAGCACATACTGAAAACTGAGCTTGCATCAAACCTGAGTAATGTATTATGTTAGAATCCACTCCAGATAAAAATGGAGCACCATGAAAAGCAGTTTTGAAAATTAACTTTAAAAAGCTGTTGTGGTAACATTATCTTAGTTCTGAAATTAATACAAGTTAGTATGAACTAGTTAACAAATACTTAGTTCTAAATTAGTTAATAAATACTTAGCTCTAAAATCAATACAATTAATACAATAGAAAGACAATGAAATTACTCCAGCAGGTATAATGGCTTCTAGGCTCATCATAGAAGCAAAGAGCAACAGCAAAATCATTTGCAGGAACCCAATGTAGATGCCCTAGACTTACCACATAAACTCAAGTTTTCAGGACTGGCTGTGTATTACATATTATTTTCTCCTAGAATATCCACAAAACTACATTTATCTTATTACTTATATAACTAGGATTTTAGAGAAGTGCTTGATATCAAGAGGAAAAGACATGCTACGGAACAAGTAATTAACACAGGAAGGGTACAGTCAGAAGAATCTGAATTGAGTGAAACTCATACTCCTTGCAAATTTCTTTCCTGCAGCACATCTGTCTGAACAGTACTCCAAGCTTCAGCACCTCAGGTGATGATATGTGGTAGGAGCACCTGCAGGTGTTGTATAGATGAGAACTCTGTAGGACCGTGAATCTTGGCAGGGCAGAAGTATGCAAGTTCGAGGACAAGAGTTTTCCAGAAAAAAAAAATCTCTATCTGTATAACACAATGCATTTACCAGAATTTGAAAAGATAATTATTTGAGGAAGAAGCTAAAGACTGTAAACCCTAGCTCAGAATGGATCCCATACACAGAGAGACATCTGTGTCAAATCAGCTGCAAAGTGTTTCTGACCTGTGATGTTGCTGACCCTACTCAGGATGCACCTCCTTTCCTTTTACCTTTCAAGCCAGAAGGCAGGCTCTTAGTTTTTCATTTTTTAACTTCAGCTTTTTTATTTGGTTGGTTGTTGTTTGTTTGTTTTGGTTGGGTTGTGTTTTTTTGTTGATGGAGGGTCTTCTGTTATTTTTTGGAGGGAAGGGTGTTCAGGTGTTTTTTAGCTTAAAATCTGCATCAGTCTTCTGTATCCTTTTGTTTACCTTATTATTTGTTATGATTTTCTAATTAGTTTATGTTCACTTTGTACTTGGTATGAAACAAACAACCTAGGACAGACACACAGCCTGTTTCCAAGACCTCTACTTCACTGTATGCTCTGTTTCCTTAGACCTCTAATGCCCAAGTCATGTCTGGAGAAGAATCAAAGCCTAAGATTTTGTCCTTACTGGCCAAGAATAACAGTTCCTCTCTTCATTCCTCTCACGCTGTCCTGTTAAACAAACTAAGAAAGGAGTAGTTTAGCACCTTCTTCTTCCATAGTTACAGGAACAGAGATTTAAACCTCATGCTTAGTAAGATGTAGCACATGGTCTCACCACTGAGGTGAGAAGTTATTACACTATCTGCAAAACACAATTATCACCAAAGCTATTCCCTCTTTTGGCTGTGTTTTCAAGAACAAGAACAAATCAAATCAGGCTAGACAGACAGTCTGACCTCAAGCAGCAGGATAAAGGGTTAAAGCAACAGCTATTTATGTCAAGGGTCTTGCAGACGTGCTTTTATGACAGCAGTAATTGGTGTCCAATTTCCAGACAAAATTTCCAATTTGAAATTTTTCACATTTATTTGAATGATCCTTCCCATATTCATGTTCCCTGGTAGTTGGTTTGGGCATCTCCTCCCTTCCAACAGACACACTAAAACTAATATCCAACTCCAGCTAGTCACTAAACATAGTGGGGAGGTTCCCACTCGCTAAACCCTGGTGCACCCAAGTATGTTTGAGAACCCAGACATTCCAGATGTGCTTCATGCAGACCAAGACCACCTCCAGAGAATCTTTTAGCATGTATAGTCCTGGGCTGTATAGCCTGCTTCCCTCTCTGCTCAGCTCTCCCAAAGCTAGAGACAGAAGTGCAAAATCTTTTCAGGGCACTTGCCCTTGCAGGAGGTACAAAAACTTCCTTTGGACCACAGCTGCATTTCAGAGTGGACACAAAACTAGAGGGACTCTTGTTTTCTTCACAAACACCTTGCAATGTTTGTCCCTATTTGTACATTACCTTATAAACAAAACACAAATGTTACATTTTATAATAGAAAATAAAACATTCCATATTATTCCTGAACTGAGGATGCTCAGTTCTAGAACTAGATTTTCAGACATTCCACAATTAATGCACACAGCAATACACAGCACAGAGTACTGAAGGACAGGAATGACATAACTGAGAGCTGATTTTCCAACTTATCTGTAAAATGACTCGTATCAGGTTGTAGTAGGAGCCAGATTATAGCTGACAGGGGAATAAGCATTGTCCAAAGACATAGCAAAATGAGGGCTTCTGTCCCAAAGAGTAAATTCAGAGTTTTAAGGAACACTTGAGAACTGAGGCAGCCATGCAGAGTACTTTTACAGTAACTTCACATTTGGAAAAGCAAATGTTATTTCAATGCTGAGAGAAAAGCTGAGCTTTCACCCTTTACAAGAAGCTAGGAAAGCACAGTGTCTTTTCAAAAATGAGGCTATGTAGCCAGGGACTACTGTGGCAGCAAACACAGGGAGTGCTAATGCAAGGCTACATTTTCAGAAAAGACTCTACACAATTTATGTTATCAAGGAAGATGTGTTGTTGCATGTTTGTTGCAAAAATAAAATCAGGGAAAAACATCCTGCCTAGCTACAGGTGCTTTCATTTAAGGTAACACCAAAGCATGCAGCCAGGTCTATTAATATTCAGGTCAGCTCTCATGCACCCACCATGACCTCACTGCTTTCTTGACTCAGCAGAAAAAGGGGTTTATGAAAAAAATATGGAAACACCCCTCAAGTTTTTTTCAAAAACTGCTGTCAGTCAAACCTGTGCAAATATTTTTAGAACAATCTCTCCCATGCTTCCTCACCGAAGTACGGAAAATGCACATTTGTACTTTTGTAAAGAGGGAAAAAAGGCAGTGAAACAACCAGGCAATTACTTTGACATTACTTAGAGTATAAAGAGCTCCAAATTCTTACTTTTGGAGACATACTCAGAATAAATAACCTGTCCAACATCAGTACAAAAGTTATTTTGATTCCACCAGTATTAGCAGAGATTTAACTTTTTTTCCACTTCTTTCCCACAACACAGGCACATGTGACCAAAATGTGACCCAACATCCCGAAAGATCAGGAGATAAAAGCAAGAAATTTTGATTCATTCTTTCCCTGTATATCAACCATAACTTAATACCAGTGAGTGAACCTAAAGTTGATCAACCCAGACTCTCACAAGCCCTGAAAGCATATCATGTGAAACAATGCAAATGCAAAGTATTCACAAGGATTTGCCATCTACTAGAATTTCCATATACGCTATTTAGACTTACAATTTTACAAAACCCACATTCTTTCCAAGAATAGAGTTCTACATAGCAGAATCTACAAAATAATTTTAATCTGAAAAACAGAAGATTATTTTTCTGTGAACAAGTCTGGGACTCCAAAGAGCTGGAATTGTGATAATGCAACTCAGTCCAATGTGTGTGATCATCCACAACAGCCAAGTACAAAAATGATGATGGTCATGCTCTGTGACAGGGAAACCTGACCAAGGATCCAAGAAATGGACATGACAGAAGAAGTGAATGGAGACAAAATACAGCCTGTGTTAAGTTTAAGCAGTCTCCAAGGCAGGGAACATTTCCCTGTGGCCCCATATCAAGGTTTTCTGTGTAATCTATTACAGCATAGATCTATTGTGTGTTGAATGCACATTGCATGTCTGAAAATACCCAGCCTCATTCCAGCTCCAAGGAAACAGTGCATATCACCTGTATTCCTTCACACTTCAGTCATGCTCTACAGCAAGAAACTGTGTAAACCATTCAGAGTTCCTTCTCAAGGAGAAATATCTTTATCACTGCATTCACAGCCATCTGTTTTTTATTCCACATTATTTTTTAAGATAAAATTTTAAGGATGAAAAGGACAGTGCACAACATCATTCGTAATAAGCTTCTAATTTTCTACCCCATTATCTACTTATACTAGCAGAAGAAGAGTTTGAAATTTGAGTAGATAACAGTAAATAAAAAGCAAGAGTTATTTGCTTTTGTTCAGTGTCTTGAAGAAACATAGGTGAGGTTTTTTTGTTCTCTTCTTAAACCAGCACTTCTTGGTATACCTCCAAAGTTTCCAACCACAGCCTTTGGATCTGACTGGAGATAACATTCCACCACAATTTTAAATATTTCAGAAAGGGGTGGAGAAAAAAAGGAACAAAGATGCATTCACCTACATCTTCAAAACACGTGTATGCAGGTATGAAAAGTCTGTAACTTTTCCTGGAGGTTTTTATATGAATTAAAAAAAAAAAAATCAATCTTGAGTGTCACAGAATCTCTGAAAACATATTCTGTACTACTTCAACAAGGATAAAGTATTTTTCAAAAACATATGCCTTCTTATTTAATATGGTATGTTATTATGCCTTATGCTACTCAATAAGCTGTGTTTAAATTCTAAGCTAAACAAATTTTATTTACAGAGTAAGCAAAACCACCACTATGAAGATTGTATTTTCAAGAAGAGTTAAACGTCACCAAGTTAGAAGTATATTTTGTTCCTGGTGCATATAACTATTAACTATGATGAGACAGCACACTGGGAGAGATTTACAAGAAAAAATCCAGAAACCATGAACTTAAACAATCCCTTTAATATAACAAACATATCAAACTTTCAAATATAAACTGGAACCAACTAACAAATAAGCTCAAAACAACTTTCTGAATACCAAAAAGGTCTTATGCAAAACAGTGCACATTTATTTGAGGTATCGTATCCATGAAAACAAAACAAAACAAACCAAACTATCTACATTTAAAAAGATTTTTACTTAGAGAGCTAAAGAAGTTAGGTGGTACATAAGGAGTAAACCAATGTAAACAGTGTAAAAATAAAGACTTCTAATACCAGCCAACCCAAAAATGAAATATCCCAATATATTAAAGAAAAATAAACCAGAGGCATGCAAAATATTGTTTGTTAAAATACACTCAAATCCATGTGGCTGAAGCGAAAGTCACAAGCTAGTGAGGTGGATTTGCAAAGGCAATGTTTCTTTCTTTATTTTCCTTAGACTGACTGTCATTCAGTTTTCCACTGATAAATAAGTTTTCAGCCTTCTTCAACCCACTGGGAACTGAATTTCTAAGATTCCAAGCAGGTGCTGCAAAGAGGTTTAAGAATTGTTTTTATGGTCTAGTGTGATATACAACCCCACTCAAATGCTACAAGCCATGGTGATCTGTTACCATTATGGAGGAAAAAGCTTGGTAAACAGGTTGCTCCAGGTGGAGTTGAAAGATTTTTGAGTTTCTCCTCACGAGAGCAGTGACAAACTCCATGGTAAATCCGGTAAGCCACTTAACATTTTATTTGCAACACAGAACATTTTGGCAACCGATATATTAGAGGAATCTGAATAGTGACCTGCAATGCATGTGCTTTTCAGAAAAATCAAGTTTTGTTTCAGGTATGCATCAGGAACATCAACAGCACAAGCCTTTTCTCATTCAAGCAACTGTAGCGATGCCATCCATCCCAGATGTGCTTACAGGTCTTTCTTATCTTCTGCTTTATTTAAACGTTGCTGAAAAGAGACAGATGAAAAATAATTTCAGTTTGGCAAGATCAGAAACCACTGAGTCCAGACACCAAATTTTGCCCCTTTGCAGTCACACCTGATTTGTTCATCACACACCTTTCTAAGCTGTTCCCACCAACACTACCCCGCAGAACCCCTGAGCTTCTGCTGCCAGCAGTCAGGGCTGTGCAGCCTAGTTCTGCTCCCTTTGGTTTTACAGCTGAGCTGTGCAACCAACTCAGCACAAAACATTTTCTGCTATCAACTCATTTATCCTGGGAGCTGAATCTACTGTGTGCTCAGTACCTTCTGTTCCTTCTACTCAGAGGTAAACAGAGATGGTAAGGATGTGTGTTTTAGACCACAAGTCTGCAGAAATGCAGCAGGACTACTATGGCTCATTACACAGGGAAGCACAACAAGGACAGGACATGCATGGTGGTCTTGAATTGAACACAGAGATCAGTTGAGCAATCTGTCGAAGTACAGGGTGAGGCTGGAAATGAGTTAGTGGTTTCACAGAATACAGGAAATAATATTATAACCAGGTCAAAACTGCCTTTTTTAAAAATTAATACAGCGCTGAACAACTCTTCGTGAAAAGCAGGTCACCATAATTTTAATAATAATTTATTTTCTCCCAAGACCACTACTTGTACATAGGTTAACTTTAATTTTTACTGAATTTTGCTCAAGACAGATGTTGGGTATGGAGCATATGAACATCTGTCAGACAACTTAAAAATACAAACTCCCAGTTCTATTTACTGATACTTACTGTGTATCTTATGGGTATTACAGCCACGTACATAAGAAACTCAATCAAACAGCTAATTGAACTTTTGCTTAATATGGTTTAGTTTTTAAAAATTATTTTGTACTTCAGTTTGAATTTTATAGTAGCCTGTTTTTAACCTAGGCTGTTTGTTGGGTTTTTTATCCTTGTGTATCAACAGTATTGCAACATTTATAATCCAGGATTGCAAAAGCATGTTTTAAGAGCAAACAAAATAAAATTACTTTTATAAATCATGTACACACTCACCCCGCCACCCACACCACTCCTATAATTTTCTTACAGTATTTCAGTGATCATCACGTGCAAAACCACCTGAATATTATTTTCCAAGCAGCAGTAAAATGGAAGCTAATGATAACCTGAGCTTTGTCAACCAAAGTGCAAAAAATAAAATGCTACTAACTCTGCAAAACAAAATTCTACTGTTTTGAAGTAGTTTAAGGAATGATGCCTGTTGTAACTTTATGCTATCCTAAAGATTTTGGTAAATTCTCTCAAAACAAACAGAATTTTGCTGATACAATTTCAAAACACAGTCCTTGTATGGCAATCCAGAGCCACCTACCTGAAGCTGTTCAAATTCCTTCATCAGATGGTCATATTCTCTTCTAAGGCTTTCAGACTGCTTTTTAACTGCAGCCCCTTCAGTTTTTGCCTTATGGAAAGCTGTAAAATACCAGAATTGGTGTTTTAATTATTACTTGTATTCCTGCAGTTCCTCAGAGCCCTAGATGTGCATCAGGGCTCACTGCAGTAAACAGTCCTTCCTCTAAAATAGCTTAGCATTTAAAACACAGCATCACAGATTGACACAGGAACCTGAGAAGTTGAGGACAGGGAGCAGAAAGAGAATGGCCAATGTTCAGAAAGATCAGCACGAGGAACAGGAAGGGCCTGTAAGAAAGGTAGAGTTGAGACCTTAAATAAATAAATAAACTCCTTAAATAAATAAACTCCTGAAACAGGGACTAGTTAGTGATGATTGCAGTGTTCTGTAACATTGCAGGAGATAGTTCTAGAAAAACAAAACTCAGCAACTCCAAAATCAAAACTGTCAGATCTCTTAAGAAGAGGAGGGAACTCAAATACTGGGCAAGATTTTCACACAGCAACTGAGACCATCGACAAAACACAGTAAGGAGGAAGATGATACATGATTATAGGAGCACAGACCTCACCTTTCCACCCTGTTCTGAATTTTACCATGCATGAATTAATTGATTAGCAGCATCAGTTTACAGATGAAAAGGCAGAAATGGTGGTGGGTGGATAAACAACTCTGAACAGGTTTTTAACATGAGAAGAAAGTAATTATTACTCCACTCCATCTCAACACAAACTGAGAGCACGTCTATGCTGCAGTACCAAACAGCCTAGGACTCCACTGGGGCTATTTTACAATGCAGGATAAAACAGCACAAAGTGCCATAAAGCCATTAGTCCTAAGCTGTTATGTAAGGCCATTTAGATACTTTCATATTCCTCTGCTACAGGTATCTCAGGGATTGTTGTATTTCTCTGATTCAGCACCACAGGCATAGTCTAAATCTTGATCTGCTCATGTGAAAACAAAGAAATGTAGTTAATGACCTAGTAGGGCTGCCTCACATGGCCACTTAGAAACCCCAAACAACCAAATAAAAATTTTATTAAAACTAAAAAAAGAACATTAGCAAATTTCCTTGTTCCCAAAGTGTGAATCTATCCTTTGACTGTGAACTCCCTGAGAGAGATTTCTTTCCCAGAGACTTCCACTGCACTCAAGAATTGCAGCACCTCTAAAAGCCTGTTCTGAAAAGATGAGGAGCTAGATGTGGTTTTTGTTAAGCACTGACTTACAAGCACTCTGGTAGGAAGCAGATTTCTCTTTGGGTGCTAGTTCCTGAAACATCAGGAAATGAGATTCGACCACACTCCTACATGCAAGAAGGAGAACTCCTTCACCCAGAATTTAACTTATTTTTAAATAATTAATTTGAATGTACAGATGAAAACAATTCTCATTTCAGAACTCTGCAAGTGGTTTTCCTGTAACAGGACTTGCACCTACCTTGAAATTCTGATTCACTAGAGTCAATAACACTTTGTTCTATTGATTCTAACATGATTAAAACCTCAATTTCTCTTTATTTTCTCCTTTCTTTCATTTTCATACTCTTACACAGTTTTCCTTCATACTTTAAGTCATTTTTGATAGCATCAATACAGATTTTCCGAAGGTTTTGGTATTTGGAGTAACTTTGATTTCCACACGTGACAAGTCCAACCCCACTGCATTTACTCTCTCTCTGATCTCCGTACTGTTTAAAATTTTCAATAGTAAAATTTTGATATTAATAAAATAAATTTGTGACAATTGGATAGAATTTTAGGTTGTAGACAAAAAAAATACATATGCTATTTCACTTCTCCAAGAATCTGCTAATTAGAAAGATAAAGCTTGCTTTTGTTTGAACATTCTTATACATACTGTAGTAAAAAGTAGTAAGATCTCACTTCTGAAGAAGTTGTAACTCAACGTTATTGATCTAACACTATTTAGTTATTTATAAGTAGCAGCACAGTACTTTAGTTGCAACTAAAAACTACTTTATCTTTAAAACATGAACAAAATATCTAGAAGTATCTACAAGTCAGGAAAGCGAACAAGCTAGTGCATTGTTTTAGTGTTTTGACCAAAACAGATGTATGACAGAAATATCTTGCCTAACCCTAGAAGAAGAAAAAGCAAAGAACAGATTGTCCTTTCCACCTGTGTTGGCTATGGACAAAAACATCAATAAACCACCAAATCCAGACTCATTCCTGTTGGGGCCTCACAATTAAAAGGAGCATCACGTCTTTGACAAGGTGAATTCCTCAGTGCACCCATTTCCCTGATGCCTTGTGAAGCACCAGAGTGTCCCCACACCAGTGCCCAGCTCCTCTGCTGGGAGCACTGCAGTACCAGTTCATCAGGTACACTGTCTGGCATATGGATCCTATCATATGAACACTGATCCAGCAAGAAACAGGAGATCCTTTGTGTGCACAACACAGTTATTATTTCTGACTTCCATCTGGCCTGTTACTTTGCCTCCCAGGAGCACAACAGCTGGACTGGCAGCGAGCAAGCTCCCACAGCTGACCCCTCCCACCAAGTCAATGCAGGAGCAGGCAGATGAGGATGCTGCTGCTACATTCATGCACCCATTGACAGGAACAATCAGGAAGTTCCAAACACAGAATCCAGCCTCAGTACTGTAAGAGGTAGGCAATCCTTTTCCATTCTGTCCCTTACCAAGAAAAATCAACAAACTATTCCTAGAGCAGTGTTTCAATGGAAAACATTTGTGGAAAACTTTGCACTTACGTGTGACTGAAGGTTCATAAACTAATGTAACACGTATAATCTAGGAAAAGAACATGTCCTTTCAAAACATTCTCTGAATCCTATTCCACGAGAGATAGTTTACTTCAGACTGCTCTGAATTCTAAGGGTAAGGAATAAAACTGCTCTCAGGAGCTACATTACCACAGCCCAGTAGCTGTAGCATTTCTATGATCTTCTCATTTCAACAATAATGGAGAACCTAACACCAAAACCAAACACCAACAAAAACAACTAATAATTCTTTGGGCATTTCCTTGCACAACTACTAGTCCTGGTCTGACTACATCACTTGACTTACAGTGCTTGCTACTAAGGAAACCATCTGGAACTTACATTAGCATTGCTCACAATACAAGCCTACAACCCAAATGATTTGGACTAGTTGAAGAGTAAAAAAGAGCCCTCTCTTAAAAGAGTTTTCAAGTGAAAAAAGAGCTATTCACGTTTAAGAATTTAGGCACTGACGGCACAAGAGATTTGCCAACAAATACGCTGTAAGGCTGGGAACTCAACTCCAGTCAAGTACCTCCATGCTAATTCTGAATTCTCTTCTTAAGATACAATGATCAGAATTTAAAATGAGAAGGCAGGGCCAAAAAAATTTACAAATTTGCTTCAAGTACCTTTTGCAACCTCAAATAAAATTTTGTTACAGAAGGGATGTTACAGCATCACTGGATGGCATAAAAAGCCTTGTATAATAAATAAACCCATGCTTGCTGTATGCAGCCATCTCTTCTAATCAACAAATGTGAGTATCAGCTCTTGCTGCATGTGGCACTTCAATGGCTCCCACCCTTGGTTATCATCTCAGTTTTGTAAAAAGTAAAGTTAAGTAAGACAGACCTTGTTCCTCAACTTCCCTCTGCCATTTGCCAAATAACAAGACCGTGGCCAATTCTTTAAACTTGTTTGTTTTTAAAAACTGGAGTGCATCAGAGAAGCTCAGTGTAGTTTTCATACATGGCACTAGCCTACCCAGCAACACCCAGGCCAAACTGAACTCTCCCTCTAGCAGCAGTTTTATGAAATGTATTCCCAAAGTCTGTATTTTTAAAAGGTTTAAGTGAGAGCTGTACATCTGTACATGCATACTTTCTAGAACAGCCAACAGTTAGAAGTTATTCCAAAGCCAGCCCTCCACATGAATTGCTGCTCTCCTCCTGTCTCCTACAACACTATGGAACCATGAGACAAAGAACACTCATGTCAGTCTGTACACAAAACAAACCTCTTTAAATGATGCATCCAAGTTCCATTAGAATTTCCTCCTGCCCCATCCATATATAAACAGAGTATTTTCAGAAAAAGTTGAACTGAAGTTCAAAAGCACCTAAATGACTTTGATGAGCCAGTACATATTTAATGAAGCCCTGTTCCTGCCCCAGCACAAGAGCACAAGGACCATTGTAAGGACAAAAGGCTTTATGAAACTTCTCTCAGGTCTAATCTCATGCCCAGTTGCAGGTAATTATTTTGTTGTGGTTTTTTGAATAGTCTTCCAAACCATCAAAATGAAACAATATCATGGGCATGTCTTCTTTCCCCAGAAAATTCCTATTGGTCCTAGGCCAGTAGCCATACTGAGAACCTTTAATTATCAGAATATTTTGTTAGAAATATGTCTAATGTGTAGCAGGAGAAACATTCTCACATCTGTTCTGGGTATTGCTACAAGTATGTATATTTATTTTTAGGTATCAATGAGACATTTTCATAATATACAAGTGTATCAATAAAATACCATCTCAGAAGGTTTCTAACCAGTCATGTTATTACATGTCTAGGTATGCTAAAAATGGATTAGGCTCTCAAAGTGCTTGCCCCACTGCTGGGTGCTTATAAAGCCCTGACAAGAATATGTGGGTCTGCAATAGAGCTGTGAGGAACTAGCCTTCTTTGCTTCATTTCCAAAATAAAGCAAAAAAAAGCATCAAGTGTAATAGAAAAGTCAAGCTTGGAAAGAAAGCAAATTTGGTAAAAAACCCTTAAAATTAATTTCCAACCCTTCCTCAGATGTTACTAATTTTTGTGCTCAATCTTGTATTTTGATTTCTTCTGCCCACCTATTCAGAACATAGGAAAAAGGTCTTCTTAACTTAGGATTTCACTGTTAAGTCAGGGAAAAAAAAGTAGTCTGTGTTTTCTGTAAAAGATAGAAAACTGAAGAACTAGAGATAAGTCTCCTGAAAGTCTACAATCATCTGTCTATGATGATCATCTATGATTTTAGTCAGAATTTCAGGAAGAGGAGACATACAGTGCTTCCTCTTCCAGCTGTAAATACAGATTCAAAACTTTACAGGAAATTTGCATAGCCTTTGATGTCACAGCACCAATCTGATACTAAATTGTTTTCTTAAATGTGAAGCAGGTGTACATTTAGGACTCCTCTTGGCTGCCACTATACTGACTTACCCCCCCTTTCAACTCATAGCCTACTCTAAAAGAATATATTACCATGCATCAGCAGCTTAATAAGTGACCCAGAACCAGAGCAATGGATATTTGAAACTGCATTTGAAACAAAAAAAGTTTTTCCTTTCAAGCAGCAAAAAATCACCCAAACACAAACCCCCAACCAACCATGAACAATATCCAAATTTATGACTCTTACTAATACCATAGTTGAAAAACGAACAATAAGAAAACCTCAAAAATCAAAACCAGTAAAGTTTTCATTTTTTTATGAGTTTTGTCTTGTATCATGATTAGGTGACACCCTTTAAGCTCTTCACTCTTCCCCCACAGTTTCATGGATTGGACTTTACAGACACCAAGAAAAAGTTACTTTGGTCATGTGAGCTCAGTAGCATGAAACAAATTGCTTAGAAGAGGCAAAAAAACCTTTCCAATGTCAGCTTTCATTTTGTGTAATGCATTGCTCACACTTAGTGAACATGACACTTAGTCAACACTGACCTGACCAGCTGCAGGAATTTCAAAAGAACACAGTAAATTCACATCCTCTAACACACTATAGAAAGCTGTGTCTAAGGATGTGGTTGTTCTTATCAAGTACTTCAAGCTTTCTGGCTATCAATTTGCTCAAAATAACATACAAGAAAACTTACAAGAAGGTAAGACAGACAAACCTCAACACCACCTAGCTGCTCATGGTAATTCCCATACCACCCATGGGGCTATTGGCAATGAGGGGGGTGGCATTAGGAGAGGGGCTGTAAATATTTTCCTATTCACTCCTTAGAAAGACCCTCTCTCCCACTTGTGCCCTAACAAAAGATTCAAGCATGCCTTAATTTATACATCTCTTGGATGGACAACATATCATGGGGAGAATGAAACTGAAGCAGCATGAGGTAAATCTATTTATTCCTTAGCTTTCTCTAGCACTCCTGACTGAAAAGCTTACATTATATTAGTGTTACATACCACCAGTTAGTTTAAATAAGACATAAGCATTTAAATTTTCCATTGATCCTGTCACTTCAAAGGCACTCCCCACCAGCTTTCTTCAAGAAAACAGCAGGAGAGGGAAAACCCACCATCAAACATGCCTGAGAATGTGAACTAATGAGACTCTCTATTTAAAGAGTCTTGTTGCTTCAAGTCCAGTTGAAAACAGCTGGTTTACAATTTTTATTTGAATTCTCAGTGGACAGGAAAAAAGGATTCATGAAACACTTCTGAAAAATTTATTCTTGCAGCACTGCAGCAGTCCCAGGCAGTATGAAAGTGGGGCTATGTTTTGATGATAACATACTGTCTCGTACCAAGAAAATTTGTATTTTTGTTACAGTCTGAACATCTGATTAATGTTTACAAGATCGCAGGCTGTGTTATCTTAAAAACACTGATTTCAGATCAGCAGGTGCTCACAGGCATCACATACCTTGAGAGATCCCAGTAAGACAGAACCAAACAGGTAAAATCTGCTTCTATCTCAATTTGGGCTGCCTATAAAGCAGTTTTGGCAACCTAAACCTTAAACATGGAAGCTGCTAACAAAAGTATTATGTTACAAATTGTAAGTTATGTTTCCTTGTAAGCAAAAAAAATATTAAAAAGCTAACATCTTAACACCTCAGCTGCAGAACATATATAAATTTAAAATATTAGTCAAGGACTTTTCTGCTATCTGACAGAAACCCTATGGTAGTAAAAAAACTCAACCACAATACATCCCCCATTTTATGCAGGGAGAGTGGCTGCTATGTATGACATAAAAGATCAAACTGATACCTAAAAGCAACCTGCAAATGATTCCATATCCTGGTCATTTCATTGATGAAGACAAGTCAACATCACTCAAATATATCAGTCCAACTTGTTAATAATTACAACTTAACTAAGGTGTTCCAATTATACCTTACATATTTTCAAAATGAACACATTTACTAAAATATTGGGATGGCAATGGCATGTTTTATCAGTTACTAGTCAAATGTAAAGAAACCCTATGCCAAGTGTTCTGGAAACAGATGAAGTTAATTCATGCTACACCTAGAATATTTTTTTGACATTCAGCATTAAACAATCTTTTTCTTCTTTGCAAAGAGGTCCTAACTAATACTCACCATTTGATGTCTTCTGTAGCTCTGCTTTCAAGCGTTCAATTTCCTCCTTCAATTTCTCCTCAGTTGCATCTGTTGACTCTTTCTTTTTACTATCTCCTTTTCCACTCAAGGCCTATTAAAAAACACAGTTGCTACAATTAGCTTTATTTTCATTAGTCTGATATTAATGCAAAATAGCCAGGGAATGTCAGCCCTGATTTTGCAAAGCATTAGGTTTTATGAAATGTCAACCTAACACAGGCAGATAGCAATTCTAGACAAAAATCTTCTCTAACAAAAAACCCCCCAAAAAAACAAAAAACAAAAAAAAAAAAAGGAAATTACAAGCTCAGTGTTTTAGGTAATGACATACTTGTAATAGAATGGTGTTATCTCCTATGTAAGAGTATTTTTCATGTCTGCATCAAGTGCACAACTTTCATCCATAAAATGGATTTTACACACACTGGGACTGTCAGTGACAAAATGCTGCCATGTTTATGAGCAAGTGGTTCTAATTCTCTCCTTGTAGGTTTGCAGCTACTTCAATCTTCATAACAGTTCCAATATCCAGATTTGATTTCCAGTGAAATCCGGGACAAAAACTAGGAAAGGATCCAGGAAGAGCCCTGTAAACAGCTGACAGAAGAGCAATATATTCCTTGCATGCCAAAAATGTTGGCACTACTATACTTATGCACCCTGTTAAGGTGCAAGATTATATCCCATGACAAGATCCTTTTCTCATAAAGCTTCTACTATGTAACCACACATCATCTCTGCAAAAGCAAAAAAAGAGGTAAATGCTTAATGGGAAAAAGAAAAGAAAAAGAACTGAGACAAACAGCTGTTAGGTGAACTAGAAATATCAGAGCTTACTAGGCACAGGCAGGAGCAAAGGGGAAAGATTATTTCAGGAAAAAGAAAAAGAACTGTTTATAAAGATTGGTAAAGAATCCAAGGAAAAGAGATGAAAAAAAAATTTCCAGAAGCTATTTAATCAAAGAGCTGAGATGACATTTAACTGCTGGTAACAAAACCATAGCCAACTGTCTTCTTTGCTTTGTGCTCACCTCTTTCTATTAGCATGCAAATAGCTATTTCTGTAAACTTTTATCTGAAGTCCTGTGCTCCATGAAACCTCTGAACAGGTGACAGTGCAGACCCTGCACACCAGAGTAAACTCAGAGTATTTATACTTGCAGCCAGTGCCTTATGCACAATTGCTCTCACTTCTCTCCAAGGGTGGAACGAAGCACACTTGTAAATAAACACAAATGCAGGGGCCAAGCCACAAAAAAGCCTAAACCATGGGATGTCTATAAAGTTAAAATATTCCAACCCTGAGCATTTCCTGTGTCCATTACAATGGAGATCCAGCCACAGCATGCTGCCTGTACCTGTGGCTACCTGTGTTTTTGAAAACCATGCAATCATGCACACAAATAAAAACAGATAGGGCTACAGTTTCCAATTTCTGGCTATCATTTACAAGTGGCTAAGAGAATGTGTTGCTAAGAGAATGTGAAAGCAGAAGAAAAAAGAGGACTTTTGGCAAAATCTCAACAGGACAGAGAAGAAAAAAAAACAGCAAAAAGACAAATTCCATGGCTGAGGGAAGAATTTGGATCATTTTGACAACATACCAAATCGCAAAATTTTGGAATCATTTTACACTTGGGAAACACCTAGCACAGACTAGTGATCCTTGTTTTACAACACCTCCCAACTGGATTTTTTTATCCCTTCTAGTACTTTCTGTCCAGAGTCTTCACAGGAAGATTCATTACAAAATTGACAGTGCCAGTAACCATGGACACTGCTTTAGACAAACTGGAAGGAAACCTGTACACACCCACAGGGAATTTAGTTTTAACTATGTGCTGTACTCTAAAAGCCTTCCTATGTCTAGATGTCTGAACTCAGCTTAGGGTTCAGTCTCTTCAAACAGAAGTCAAACTGTTACAAGAAAAGATTTCATACATTTATCTTAATTATATCTTTGATGCCTTTCCTTCCTGAATAGTTACATACTGAACCACAGCCTAATCATTCTTCACATAAAAATAACATCTCTCCAGTCTGTTGGTGGTTTTTTTAAGTAAGAAATATTTGGTAGTATTCTCATTAATACTACAGTAGTGTCCTATTAAGAAAGGGAAGTATTCTGAAATTGGCTGACCTCCCATAAAAAGACAGAAGAATACAAAATTCATCAAATACAAAAGATTAATTTAGAACTTGAAAAAATACATTCAGAACTGGAGAAAATCCTATTAAGAAGAAACAGTCAGCACGAAAACAGTCATATAGTAGGCTTTTTCATCCTGCACTGCTACAGCCTTAACCTAAACAGGCAATTGTTTGTGATAAAAGGAATAAAATTAGTGTCTTCCTCTACTTTGTTATGACTAAATTCAGAGAGGTATTACTATAATATATTACTACTTTGATGAAATTTGTACTGGAAAGACAGAACTTCATTTATTTGTTTTACTTCAGTTTCCTTTGTTAATAAGGTGCTAATATAATTTGCTTTCAGTATTCTGAATTACATATTATAGAAATAGTTTTCTTCTTTTTTCAACCACAAGGAATAAAATGAGTAAAATGAACAAGCATTCTGTAGCAAACCATCCTCAGAGTACACTGCACTAACTACTTGCTGTGTAAGAAAGTTACTGAAGAAGCTCAAAGATACCTCCTGCAGCCTTTCGTTCTCGGCCATGTATTTTTTGGCTGCTTCAGTAGCATCATTTACTTGTGTTTCCAGAGCTGCATGTGATGCCATCTCTTTTGCCAGCTGAGTGAGAAGGGTAACAGTACGTCTCAATACACTGGTGAAAAAAAAAGTTAATAGAACTGTAATTTACAGCACATATAAAAAACCCAAATCATGAGCAAAAACCAAAACCACAAAAATCAAACCAAACAAAAAATCCAACAAACCAAAATAAGCCCTTTTCTCTCTCAGTACTAGATGTAAAAATAAAACCAGAAGAGGGAAACATCCAGGCTCATACATGACAAATAATAGCAACAAGAGAGACAGAAAATATTTTCATCCATTGACATTCTGATTTTTACTTGATACAGAACCTCCCTCATCCTAAATACCCACAGCCATTAAGGGGTCAGAGACCTGGTTGCTTAAAGGCTGTTTAAATACTGTTATATGACCCAGTATTTTTAACAGGATTGATCTCCAAACTCAAGAACCAAACAAGTTATGGTAATGAGTATAGGGAAGAAAGAAAAAAAAACCAATCACACAACTTCATAAACAGCCTTGCAAGAATAAAATTAACAGTATGAGCATAATAATCTTCCAAGTACTGTCAATAGAGTTAAATCAGAACATGTATGGATGTCAGCACTTATATGGCACCTCAATTCTAAGCTTTGCAAATACCTTGCTTGATTCTTTGCATCACTATTTTCATTATTCATCATGAAGTCTTTCAAATGTTGCTGAATCAAGGCAACACAACACTGAATTAAATTAATGCCTATAATGTAAGTATGCAGCTGCTCTTCAAAGAAATTTGAAAATCTAAGTAATTTACTTTTTCATAACTGGAAGAGTATTAACAGATCTTTTCAAGTTAAGCGTCCTTCCACCCCTTGCTTTTTCATTGGAAGTTCCTTTTCTTACTTTTTTAGGGGGCTAATATAAAAGCTAAGGTCCCTATGTCACTACTTTTCCACAGGTTAGCAAATTTACTATTGCTTATTAACTTACAAATGCAGGAGTCATTAAAACATCAAAACTAAAAGAGAATCACAGAATCCTGTTAAAAGAGGCTTCCATCTCATGAAAAGCAGGACAGGTTAAGCAGATTGCTCAGAGGTTTATCCAGTTGAGTTCCTACCATCTTCAGTGATGGGAGATTCCAGCATCCTTCAGGGTCCTTGTTCCAGTGCTTAACTGCCCTTGACAGCAGCAGCACTTTTCTACCACAGGTCAGAACATCTCAGGTTCCTGTTACCTCTTGTCATTCCGTTTTGCATCCACTGAGATGAACTGCATCCATCTTTTTTACTACTAGACAGACATAGAAACCAATAGGATTTTCCCTTCAAAGCCTCTTTTGGCTGAAAGCAAAGCTCCTTCATCATCTCCTCACTGGTCATGTATTTCAGCCTCCAACTTTCTCTGTACCCCACTGCAGTACTCCAGTATTTTGGGGAATTAAAACTGGACGCAGTCCTGCAGCTGCAGCATTCCATGTGTTATTCCAGAGCAGAATAACCATTTTCCTTGACCTGCTAACTGCATCCTTGCTATCACAGCTCAATACATGATTGGCTTTCTACCAGGACCCCCAGGTTTTTTCCTGTAAAACTTCTTCCTACCCACCCATGCAGCCAGTCTCCAGCCTGGATGCCGTATATGATCATCCAACAAAATGTCAGGCTTTGCATTTGTCTTTGCTGAGCTTCATGAGATTTCTGTCAGCACATTCCTTCAACCTTTCTGGCTCCCTCTGAAAAGCAGCACTGCTCTCCAAGGTGTTAACCATTCTGAATTGGAACCATGAGCAGCTTGCTGAGAGCACACTCAATCCTATCACCCATGTTGTTAATAAAGACATTAAACAATACTGAGCCCAGTAGGGACCCCTGAGAAGCACCAGCTGAAATTCACATTGTTATTATCCTTTGAGCCCAAAGGTCCAGGGAATTTCCCACCTGCTTTTTTCTTTAGCCTGTATCCCTCCACAGTTGGGCTATCAGGATACTAAAAGACACTATGTCAAAGGCCTTGCAAAAGGATATTCTGCTCTTTATCCACACAGCCATTCACCTCACTGCAAAAGGCAAGAAGGATGTTCAGGCATCATCTTTCCTAAGTAAATCTGTGATGGGTATTCCAAGTCATTGTGTCCTTCATGTCCCTGAAGATGTCTTTGAGTAAAATTTCCTTCATAACCTTTCCAGGGAGGCCAGTCTCTAGTTTCTTACATCCTATTTTCTGCCCTTGAAGGAAGGTGCAATGTTTGCCTTTCTGCAGTCACCAGGATTCTCCCCAGAACTGTGATCTTTCAAACTAAGCCTTACAATGACATTGGCCAACTCCCTCTGCCATCCTAGGATGTCACAGACTTTTATATGCCCAACTGGCCTATGCACTCCCTAGCTGCATCTTCCACTACTGGGATGATGTGACATACCCTGCTGACTCTCCTAGAAGGCACCAGTGAGCAGTGGGCTTCTGGAGATTTTCTTTAGTTTTCAGCCCTTTTTATCCCTCTCTGGTTCAGCATGGGCTAAGAGAGGACCAGGTCAGACTAGAGACGGGTGTCTTTGTCCCACCCAGGGGACAGTCTCCAGGGGCTGTGACCCTCCTCTTTTCTGCACAGTTTGCAGATGAGAGGCTCAGCTGGCCCCAATGCCCCCTCTGACAGGTAATTTTCCTCACCTGTACCCAATGCTCTGCAATAACTGAACCCCACAACTACTGTTGTCTCGCCAGAAGTGACAAGCTCCCAGCCTCCTCCATTTTCTGAATCTCCATATACCATTCTTGTGGAGTTCTCCTATTGGCTGATGTGCTAAAATGAACCAAAACTGACCCAACTAGGGGCATCCAATTACCCATTCACACTAGATGGGGTCTCAAGTTGTTTGGGTGATGGTATAGCAGTACAGGGTAAGGCAACCCAAGGAACACTTTTTCCTCACTTCTCTGACAGACATTATATCTGTTTCATGGATTAGCAAACCAGCTCTACTAAGAAAAGTCCTCTGATGTAGTGACTACTGGAGGAGTGCTTATTTCTCTTAAATCTGGGTGAAGTCCAGCTCAAAAAAACTTCAAGCAAACCTCTTCAAGAGCAGAGTTTTTATACAAAATAATCTACTGGGGTCACTTGACAAGTTTTCCTCTTTGGAAGCTGAATATAAATAGGATCCTGAGAGATCAGCTTCCAATTCTTTTGTAGGACACAATCCAGCTATTCCTCCTGGAGCAGAGATTAAAAACATATTTGTGCATATTTACTTAACCTCTCTGTAGGAAGACAAAGAACTTGATGTATTCCTACCACTATTGAGCAAGGCTAGAGCCACATTGTTTTTTCCAAAGCTTTTCTGCTCAAGCTTTCTATTCATTTTTCCTTAACACTTTTTATGCTGGATGGTCTGCTAACACATCACTCAAAGGGGAAGAGGTTTGTTGTAAGTCTGATTCTCTTGTCCTGTGCTCCTCTTGAGTATTGAGGCAATGTCAAGCAGCTCACTGAAGGAACTCCTATGAGGACCAACACTCGTTGTCCAGCCACCAGAAAAATGTACAAATGGAAATCATCAGACCAACACGCCTGTTCTGTTTGTTCACATTGTCTGTGTCCAGTGACTTCGTGTGCTCCCAGCCCAACTGATAAGATCTGCAGGTTGTTGTGCCTACTGATTCACAGGTAGTCTTGGTTGCTACAGGTGGGCAGTACAGAACTGCCCTTTCCCTTACCCTGTTTTAGTAGCTGAACTTAGACATCCTGAAAGAGATACCAGACTTAAGAACATAACATCATAATAGGCAAGTTGCCACAAAGTGTTTGATCTGAAATACAACTGTAACTTTCCTTGAAAGCTGGAATATTATCCTACAGTTCTTAACTTCAAGCTTGAGCTGAAGTGGGTCAGGTCAGGCTCACGCTTTGATTCTTAACACAGCAGAGTGCAATGACACCAGCTTGCCAGATAATAACAATATTTAACAGTACTTTAGTTTTTGAGCAGTTTTTTATTCCAGTTTTCCATGTGCAAAACAAAGGGTGTAAGTTTAAGGAAGGAAATGAGTGAATATTCCCCAAAGAAACTTCTGCAAAATACATATTTTCTCCAGCACTCAAAACGTTTCTTTGCATGTGTTGCTCACATATCCTTCCAATCTTCAAACAGTTGTAAGGTATTATTTTCCCTGATCTTACTTGCCTTGTAGCCAACCTGGTCACAATTAATTCTTCAATCTCCCGAAAATGTCTTTCTGGCCTTTACTTTACAATTACTTTATGCAATAGTTCCTGTAATAAACATACTATGTAAACTTTCAAAAATGTTATACTTACAGCCAAAGAAATAAGGAAAAACCTGAGAGATACAGGTTTCTTTGAGACCGAAAGAGTTTCATCTGAATATGATCAAAGGCACTGCTGTTGACATTTGCAGCCTTTTCATTCACATGAACAGATGAGTATTTCCTGACTTCTCTAACAGCATCTGCAAACAAAAACAGTCTGTCCTTATTCACATCTGTGGGTGTGCATGCATGCTAAACCAGACTTTAGTACTAGAAATATGTACTTTGATTTTCTGCTCAGCAAAGAGTAATAGGACAAATAGTGAGAGCAATTATGTTATCCATACATTTAAAAGATCGGTCTGGATAAATCATGAGGTGCTCTAGCACATTCCCAGAAATACAACAAACCATTGCCCAAAATATGCCTGAACAGGTATTTCAAACACTTGTACCCAGCCACGAGGGATTAGGTCATAGCATCTCACTCTACAGATGTTACCAAAGACCCTATGGTGTCAAAACGTCACTGCTGACAACTGAGCTAAAATTCCCCAGTGGACAAACAGTGAGAAAAGAGAAAGAGAAGCAAAACGAAGCAGTATTTTCTCAAGTATTTGCTTTACACGGAGTTTTTTAAAGATATGCATGTGTTTTAGTAATGACAGAAGGGTCTACTTTATACTTCAGTCATAGAGGGAAAAAATTATTTCTTTAATATCCATTAAAACAGGAAGACTATGGCAACACAGCAGTAGTAACAGTAGCAACTACTAACTGTAAAAAGATTGGAGAAGGAAAGCTACAACACCGCTTTCATCTGCCTTTCATACATCTTTCAGCTTCCTTTCATCCATCACATACTTCTGATAGCACTGCAAACACCTTTCAAAGGACAAAATAATTAATTAGGACTTACCTCCACATAAACCCCAAACCTAACCCAGTTAAGAGTTCATATTACTATCTTTAAACATAATGTCATCAGACATTCCTACAACCAATACAGCACCTTAAATCTCCTCCTGCACATCAATAAATTGTCATTTCATGACATGTGCTTGCAGAATATTTTGGCCAGATGTTATTAAATTGCTGCTGCATTTGTCTAAGCAGGCCAAATCAAAGAAAAGCACAAGTGACTATCATCACTATCATCATGACAGTCTCTCTCATATGTCTGAGTAATTTGGACATTAAAAACACCCTGAAATGAAACTTCAAACAATGCCTCAAAGACGAGGAGCAAACAAATGCATGTCCCTGTGCTATAGGAAGAGTCTAGGCCTGCAGTAACCTGTCACTTCATGCTATGGGGCAGGTATCTCATCACTGCTTCCCTTTAGCCCTGTTCTCTCTTTCCACAAAACCAATGATCATCACCAAGTCAAAAGCAAACTTTGGCCCAAGTTTTCAACAGCAGTTCAACAGAGTAAATCAAACACATTAGTTCTCAATCTTAAGCCATTCACTGAAGACCTACTTTGAAGAATAATACTAAACATAATCTTAAAAAATTAATAAGACAGTCTATTTGAATTTCTAGTACTTTAAATATTAAGAATATAGTCCTATAGCCTAGTCTGACATAGTTATATATGTTTCCCTCAGCAGAAAATAAAACCATGCATTTTCTCTTTCAATTTCAAGTAGCCTGGAATTAAGTAACATGTATATTCTAAGGCACTGGAAACACTTATCCATGGAGAACTACTTAATATCCCCAAAACACAGGAGAACTGCTTTCATCACTGAAATACAGGAGATGCCTACCTCACAACAGTCAGGACAGACATGAAATTAAATCAGTCAGGCATATGGTAACCATTAAAGCTTTACTTTTACTTCACAGACCTTAGGATCTACCCATAACAAATGAAGTCAGCAGCTGTTTTGTATCTGTGCTGAGCAAAAGTTTTCAAACAGCCCAGTGCTTTGATACATTCTGGTCTTCTACTTCAACAGCAACCAAAAGAAAGAGTGCCATCTGCTGCATGAGGTACAGCTCAGCCAAATTCTGGTGTCAAACAAGTTCATTTACCTGTGTGAGAAAGTCTAGGCTGCTGCTTGGTTTCCCTAAGCTCCGGTTTTTTTTCTCATTCACTCAGTATAATACAATTACATTTGGATTCCCAATATGGATGCAGCATTAGCCCTCTCCTCTTTCGTTCCAATGTATAATTTTTCAATAAATTAGCTGACTTACACTAGGCTTGAATCTTTTCCATTAGTTTATTCATATAAACTCAGTGTACCAGGTTTCTTTTACCCATTTGTTAAGAAATTATCTAACACTTACCAAGAAACAAGACGATCAACAAAACTATTATTGTAAGGAACATCTTGTTCCAAAATACTGCCATTTTGCTCCATAGAGGAAACATAAAAATCTTCTGCCATCTGTAAAATAGAATTGTGTTATTCAAAAATAATTAAGCACTAAAAGAAGAGCATTATAACCCCACAGCAGAGAGCCTTGTTATTGATAAGGGACTTGTATAACGTCTCTGAACAGCTCCTTTAATTGCAATATAATTTACGTATATGTTAACTTTTCCAGTAATCTAACTTCTCTTTTTTTGTTGTTAATACTTGCAAATTTTTTGCATGATAGCAGATGCTCTGCAGATGTGTTTTATTTTAGCTTATACTTTGGCTATCATACATTGTATTCAGTCCTGAATATAACAAGGGATAGGGTAAAACCACTTCCATTATTTTTATTTTTTAACCACTAGTACCTCTATTAACTCTTAAGTACAAGGACTGTTATTACATTCTTACTTGTAATGACAACAAAAGATACAAGTCTTGTGTTCATATTTTGTTAATGCTTAAAATCTCTTTCCCAGGCATAAATTTGCTGGCTACAGAAGTGACTTCTGGTGAGGCCAACGGTGGTGTAGACTACTTCCTTTTTTTGAGCAATGAGTTGTCTATTTGATATTGCTGCATGAAGGGCTGTAGCAGAAGTCACATTTGCAGCACAAACAAAGAGCATCTGATGTGCTCAAATGAACTGAAACAAGTGATAACAGAGCACCTACTTGTCCTTTGCTGCAGGTTAGAATCAGTGCTACTGCACAAATGAAATAATACCTGGTCATGCCATAGGGATGTAACACAGACATACCACTCACCACCTGATTATAGGAGGCAAAATTTCCTACTTTTGTTAAGACTATTTATGCTTACCAGAGACCGTTCGCCCTCTAACAGTGGTTGCCAACCTACTATTAATTTAAATGAAACTGTAGCATCATCTCCTATAGCTCTTTCCAGAGCTATAGGAAATCAGAAAGAATTAAAATGTTTTTGCATTGTGCATGCAAAAATCTCATTTAAGTCTTCCAGCATAATCTGAATTCTTTATAGCAGACAGCCACAGTCTGTATCAAACAAAAAACTTACTTTGAGCTACAACTTAAAGCCAATTCACTAACTCTTTAAACATGCAATTTTCCAAGCTCCATGCTGACCTTCAGTTAAGAAGTGATTCTTTGAGGTATGATCTTAGATAAACTACACTGCCAAGTTATAATCAGGCTAAAAATATGGATGTCTTTACTGGAAAATCTTCTTGTATTTTCACATTTATTTTCCCTCAACAAGAATTGACATTCACATTTACTAACACTGCTCTTCTTTTTGGTAACAAAAGTCATATAAATATAAAACTTCCATACTGTAATAGTAGCCACCAGCTTAGTGTACTACACCTCGTAGAACAAATCTGATCTGTCTCTGTATATTGGCATTTTTATACTGTCAATTTAATTGTTCCCAGGAACTTATAAACTCGTTAGCAAATTTGAAAAAAAAAAAATTTAAAAAATGTGCACACACAAGAGAGAGAAGCAACCCATTTGAAAACTGACAACCAAGTAAATCAAAACTTCCAAGAACAACAGTTTCCCACCTGTCAGTAGCCATGCATGCCTTACTGCTGACAGAACCAGCTCCCAGGCCACTGAGATGTGTCAGGCAGAGCTGCTGCCCCCTGGTACTGTCACAGCAGCTAAATCTGATTTTTAACCTCACAAAATTCCTGCAAGTTTTGTTAAGAAGTTAATTGCATATACCCCACAAAGGATAGCGTGATTTCACTCTTTCAGAAACCGCTGTTCAGAGGAATAGCTGAATATGCTCCAAACAAGGCACACAAATCTATCCTTTCCACAGAATTAAAAGCACTGTGTTTAATATTTGAATAAATTTTGGTAAAGCTGCACATTACGAATTTGCTTTTCAGCCACAAACACTGGACTCTGTTTGCATCATAAGTGAAACATATTTCAATACTCCCAAAGTATTCTGCTTGTGACATCAGCCTGCAGAAATTCTTGCAGCTAGTTTCCTCACATAAACCATTAATAATCTGATGATTATGACTCCTGTAATACTCCTCTCCTCTTACATAGTTGCACTTTTGCTTAGAGAACAGTAAGAAATACAACAACAACTCAATAGTTATGTTGAAATGCTGAACTCCTTGCAAGCCAACTTGTAAAAAACCAGAGGCTGAATTAGATTTCAGAACAGTTTCCATTTCTCAAGCTGAGGACACATGCCTAATCATTGGTATCAGCTGTGGAGGAGCCAGTCATTTTTAAGACTCCTCCAGACGTTTAAGTAGTTAAATCCAGACTTTCCACAACAACTCTTGCTCCTTAAGAGGACGGTAAATGCTACATCATTCTAAATACATCTAAAGATGCAGGAAACAAACATGCAACAGTTTTATAGAGCATTGGTGAGACAGCTTTAAAGTTTTGTTCTGCTTTTCGTTTTGGGGGGTTGTGGTTTCTCACTTTAAGACTCCTTCTTTTGTGGGTTTGGTTCCACTTGGAAGACTTACTGATATCCTAAAAAGAAAGCATAAGTCTGCTTCTCTGCCTCCTGCAGAGAATCTAGCTTTATTTCCTGTAGGGAAATAATATTACCAAATTTGAAGAGCAACTTACAGGAAACAAGATAATGCTGTAAGTCCGGCCTCTGCAAACACTAAAGGTAATAAACTAATTTTGTTTCTTTCCCTTACTGTGTGCATTTATTTTACAAGAATTTATTATTTTCTTAATATTTGTGTTGTGTTCCAGAAGTAGTACTATTTTCTTAATCTATATATGAGTTTTTCTAGAGTTTTACAGAGGTCTTTATTTCAGTAGTCCTGAACCTTCTGCTTCAAACTCAACTCCAGTTTTTTTAAACAAGTGATCACAAATTTCTTGCAGCCGTTACACACAGTTTGCCGCTTCCTTTGAGTATCTGACGTCTTATCTCTTCAACACCCACAACGCCTGGTGTACACCAAAACATAAAACTGCACCTCACAAATCTGACAAACTGCTGAAAAAACCGCACTGTCCTCTCATTAATTACTGCCGGATGCCTTTCTCTACGCTGCCTGCTCCCCAGCTCTGGGAGAAGCCGTCTCACCTGCTGAGCAAAGTCGGGGGCTCCTCGGGGCACCCCGACCGCTGCCCCCGGATGAATCAGCACTGCGTAGAAACCGTAAAGCTCCTTAAAGAGCCTTGCGATTCCTGCAGCTCCTGACACTCGAGTGCCAAACAGCATTCCTTCGGCTTTGTTTACAACTAGTTCAGGATGCAGCAAAGCTCCGTGGTTATGAAAATAAACCCAAACTGGTGAGAAGCGCAAGCTGCCTTGCTCAGCACACCCAAGTCCTCCTACCTCAGCGGAGAAATGAAAGGCAGGCAGAGCACGAGAATTACTCCGATTTCGCCATACAGGAAGGCAGCCACTGCCGTCCACTGGAAAGTCATCGTCCCGGCGGCCTGCGGAAGAACGGGCGGCTCTGACTTCCCCTCCTGAACGACCCCGGGGACAGGGAGATGGGCACCGGGACAGCCCGGGGCCGCGCCGGCCTGGCGGGCAGAGCCCCGCGGGTTCCTCCCGCCGCCTCCCGCCCCCCAGCGCTGCCGGCGCCCCCCGTGAGGCCGCGGAGCCCCGGGGCCGCCTCATTCCCGCTGCCTCCCGCCCGGCCTGCCTCCGAACCTCGTCAGCGCCGGCACCCGGCGGAGCTGATGGCGGCCAGAGGGCGGGAGCGGGGCCTCACCGGCCGGGGCTACGGAAGCGCGGACCGGTCTCTCTGCCGGCACAGGGCGGGGCGGCCGGGGAACCGGGGTGTCGGTGCGGGCACGGTGCCGCCTCCGCCCTGCCCGGGGGATGTGGGCCGGGACGGGGCTGAGTGACACGGCGGGGGCGGCGCGGAGCTGCCGGCGGCCCGGCCGGGGAAAGGTGCGGGCGGGGGAGGGATGCAGAGCCCGGCCCGGTCCCCCCCAGCGCACAGGCCGCGCTCGGCCCGGCCCGGCCGCCCGGGCACTCGTGCGGTGCCGCACCTCTGTTGGGAAACGCGTGGATCTACGCGCTGAGAAGGGTTCAAATAAGTATTATCTTTTTCCTGTCTAGGGAATTGGTTGTAAGCATTTTGCTGCGGAATGCTGCTGTGATCATCCCACCGCTCCATGACTCGAGCTTAATCGATTTGGGAGTTCAACTCTGCGCTCCAACATTATCATGAGTTTCTAAAGTTCAGTTAAAATACTCCGTGTGTCCATCCATTCCCTCCTTCAAGTGTTACACGACATAAATGTATTAAGACCCAGTAAATCATTTTCTCAAGGAGTACAGGTCCAGCATTCGTAAAGACAGCACAAATAACAATCCAACAACAGTCTCAAACACACTCCAACAGGCCTGTTTGGGCCTCATGAATAAAACAGAATTCCTTCAGAAAACCCTGTTCTATCCTACGGTCCTGCTCAATCCTTTTTATCTGCATACCAAGGCTCCAAGCACATTATTTCCATGCAACTCTCCTTTGCTCCTATGTAAGAAGGCCATGCTCTGATCACTTTTTCCTTTTGATCCTAACAGATGCTGAGGTGCGGTCAGTGGAAGAAGTTACCTTGTCTACCTGGGCATCACCAGCACTCTTTGACACTACTACTTGCTTTGGGGAATTCATTCCCAATTAAGTTCCATCAACATGAGACATAAAATGCTGTGAATAGTAATTCTTTGTTACTCTAATCCACTGGAACTGACATGGGGTGGGAAGTTCTTGCATAAGCAGTTTTGAGCAGAGCTGTTTGCAGCTGCTCACAATCTGAAATTGTTTACTTAAAATTTCGCAGGTCTGCAGCCTGGGGATGGAGCCAGTGTGTCAACATTTTTCTAGTTGCTGCCAAGCAATGTCTGGATGAAAGGTTACATCCCAAATAATTGTTTATGCACAACAAATACTGGAGAGAGATATAAGGAGTCATTTCAATCCAATCTACACAGTAGGAATAGCCCCAGTTTTAAGTAGTGTTTCTAACAGATTTTCATAAACATACATTATCAGCACTATAGACAAAACACAACCTCTTAGAATGTTCTGGTTATTACATTTTAGCTATTGGCCTACAGCCAGTATACTTCACTGAAGCTGTTAAAATGTGAATAAAGACTTTCCTTTAATTACAGAGCAGTTTCCATTTCTGAGCTGCTTACTCGCCTTTCCAGCACTGTAAGCTGCTCTCCCAGTAGCACAGCCTCATACTGGTAGGACTGTATTCACTTGTCCCTGATGCCAGAGACTTGGAGCCACTTTTTCACTTTAGGGGCTCTGTAAGATCTCAGAAAGGCTCACTATGAGTATGATTGCCGTGCACTTCCCTGCAGCTGATGCATGTTCCCCACCAACCCAAAATGAGATAGGAAGAAAAGAGAGGTCTCCTGCAAACCTCTGTGAGACCTCTCTTTTCCTGTTGAGTGCACTCTGCTGCTCCTGGAAGGAATTATAACTGAAGCTGTAGAAGGGTTGTTGATCTAAGGCTCTCTCTCATATACTGAATCACCATATGATGAATATGATGCCATACTATATATATATATATATATATATATATATATATATATATATATATATATATATATATATATATAAAAATGGCTGTCTGCTTTAGTGAAAAAATTTCACAAACCTTCTAGCATTACAGTTTAAAGGAATATCTTCCTCTTCCATTAGGGAAGTGACAAAGTATTCAGAAGCAGAAATAGGAAATGCCTGTATACTAACGGCTGGTTAGAGAAGTGAAATCAGTTAATTCTCTTTTGAAACAAAAGGAAAGTTTAAACTTGTTCTGTTTTGGCTTCTGTGACAGCCTTACCATCACACACTGCTTTTGCCCAACCATCAGCTCAAGAGATCTAAAAAGTCTAACAATAGGTAATAGAGAAAATGGAATTGTACAGGCTGTGTGAGAGTGCTGGGGTTACTGTAGCAAGATAAAAGTTGATAAAAGCAAAGAGGTATTATGAGAATATGGTATTGTATGGCAGGGGCGTTTAACATAAAGAACAGGATCAGTTGAAGGAGCAAAGAATCTAAAATAGGAAACAAGGCTTTGTGTATTATATTACTTGCTTTGTACTTATGCTACAACATTTAAAAACTAGAAAATAGACTGACCACCCGGTGATGTTAAAAGTAACATATACAGCAGAAGGACTACATCCAGTGATTTTAACCTGGAAATTAGTATTTTTCCACATTCAAGTATCTTATAATGAGAAATATGAACACATTGTAAAAACAACACTGGTAGCTGAATAACTCTCATCCTTAGCAATTTATGTATATTGGAACAGTATGGTGTTCAAAGTATGACTTAAAGACTCCAACTTTGCAGTTCATTCTATAGAAACACAGTGGAGTATGTTCAGATGCATACAGAATTCAGAATGGAAGGTGAACAATTCATTTCACCCTTGAGAAGGGATGATGAACTTCCATTGACTTTTATGATACATAAAAGGCCAGATCAAGCACTCCATAATTACTACCAATATTAACAGCAACCTAGGTCTTGTACTTCAGGCAGAAATCTCTGTGATTAATCTCACACAGGCACAACAACTGCTGCCCTTCAAAATCATCAAGTACTCAGTTCCTAAATAGGTCAAGGTGTTTCCAGTCCTCAAAAATTCAATTTTCCCAATACTACAGAAAAAATAAAGCCTTTTTGTTGGTTATATATAGTAAATCTTCTCTGCTCCTTGAGGCTAATGGGAGTTTGCTACATATAGTAGTTGCTAGCCAAATCATAAAACTCTTAAGAAGGTGGCAACAAAGGGCTTAGTTAAAACTTTCACAAATCCTTTTCTTCTACAATTCAGTTGCATAGTTTTACTTCAGAGGAGGCTGGGGGCATTTCAGAACTGAGGAGAACAGTATTGCAACATAACTGGATGAACTTGATACTGGAATTTTTGGTAGTACAAATTCCCTAGTCATGCAGTTGGGAAGTAAGAACTTCTGCTCTAAAACTGGGAGCTCATAATTTACATGATAAATAGTAGTGGGGGAAAAGTGAAGTATTAGAAGTAGTATTAATTGTAGAGGACACTGCTGGCAATTTACCTGGAATGCTAAAGAGAACTGTGCCCAACTAACGTCAAGAAAATATTACAATCCAGAGGAGTGAGAAAATAGTTGTGTGAAGGAATGGACACACCAAAAATGGTTGCAGAGGTTGTCTCAATTGGCCTAGGAGAGCAAAGCATGCCTGTGGTTTTCCATTTGTTAGCACATTGGGAAGGTGATCGTATCAGGAGAGTTATGTAAGAGTGAACTGGACTTGATGCCTTGGGTCATGCCTTTCAATATGCCTAAATCAGACATATTATTTATGAAAAAGAATCAAGTATTTTATGCTATTGCATTAAAAAAACAGAGATAATTTAACATACCTGAACTATGAAAAGATTTGAAGAGTAGCATCAAAAGCAAGCTTCCCTCCTCCAGATTGCTGTCTAATAAAAAAATTACAACTGCATAGAAAACCAAGTACTTTATTTATAAAATCTGGAAATAGTCACATGTATATTCATAGAACAATCACAGTCAGAAAACTCGGCAATTTTTGGTATGAATTTCTGTGTAAATGTATAAAGAAAAAAATTATTTGATTACAAATAATTGTACTGTATAGTTTTGTGAAATTTCCCTTGCAGAACAAATGCAGCTGGTGTGTAATGTTATTATCTTGTTCTAATTTTCACTATTTCACCTCAATGTAATGATTCAAAGCCAAGTGGCTGTCATGCTTTGATAAGCAACATGCCAGCAGGCAGAAAGGACTGCAGGAGCCCCACTGAGAGAATCTGTCAGCTTTTCTTTGACCTAAAAAGTTCTGGTTTCGTAGATGATGGGGATTTAATCTTGTATACAATTATTCTGTGGTAGATAAAAACCCCTGAATTTAGTTAGATTAAACTTGAAGTCTTGTAATTAGATTCAGCTAAGTTTGTACATAAACTATCTCTTCCTTTTTACTTCTTTCCCTCTTCATTTTCCTTCTTCCTTCTTTCCTAATTGTTTATCTATTCTGTGTTTCTTTTGCTCTAAGAAGTATGGAATGTTTCTAAGTTATTTATAACAGAGTTTTAGGCTGCAAAAGAAACATCAAATTTAAAAAAGGATAGTATGATGGGCTTTAAGCTTTTGTTATCTAAAGCAAAAACTTCTACAGTGGCTCCCTTTGTATTCTTTTGGTCTGAAATTACTGTCATTATCTATAAGCAGTCCTGATTTTAGGAGGTTTAATGTAAGAAAGGCCCTAGTTTTGTAATCATATTGCTGTGAGCAATTATCTGGTGAAAAATTAAATTACTGGGGCCTTACAATAATCAATCCTCTCTGTAGTAATGCATTGTAATAGAATTCCACATTTGTAGAATCCTGAATATTCTTTAGAGCGAAAAAAAGAGACATAAAAATATAAAGTATCATCCAAATAATAACGTTTTGCTGTGTTGAAAATACTTACACAATATACAAATATGACTAAAAAGTAAAAACCCAATGAAAACTTTTACCGTTTATCGACAATTGCAAAATACAAGTTTACACAGGACTAACATACTTTCATTTGCCCCAAACCATAATGGTCATTCAGATAATCTAGTACTGCTGAGGTACTTGATAAAACATTAAAAACTTTTTTTTCTTGTTTTGAAGTGATGCGCTCCATCATGTACATTAAGTGGTGGTGAAAACACGTAAAGGGAGTTCCGTGCTCAAGGGCGATGTCAACCCAGTCCTGGATGCACTGAAAAGGTGTCTCTTCATATCCTGCAAACATGGC